AATAAATATACACACTAGAATTATTCCACTGATTCTTTCGCGTTTATGCTCGCCTAGTACTAATCTATATTATAATATTTTTTACGTCATTACACAATCAAATCGCGTTTATCGTTCATATCGTTCTTCTCATACATACATTTAGTATAAATATTAATTACCTACAGTATTGAGTACACACCACATTTTACTATTATCTATCGCCACTGATGAAACATAACACACCGTCAACCAAACAATGATACAAACACGTTACAAGGATCTCTCGTCATATCGGTAACTTTATTTATTTATAATATGTCGAATGTATTATAAAAATATATCGTATACTAAATATATAGGCCGTTGCCTTGTTCTATGACATACTGTACCAGTCAATCACAAGAATGATGATTGAACAAATAAAGTTTGTATGTGAAAATTAAAGATAAATATAACTTTTTATATGATAAACGACGTGGTTGCTGTTGCACATAGATATAATGTAGATTTTTTTCAATTACGAATCAAAATTCATATGAGTTCAGAGTCACATTAAGAGTAAGTTACATTAACTATATACTCACAGTAAATTGTGTATATTAGATATACATATCTACTCGGTAACAAATCACATTAATGTTACATGTAAAACTGTTGTGAGATCTGTTATATGATATATCCGACGATAATGGGTTATTTTATAAGCAAAGTCAATGAGAGTGTTATGAGTATGTAGTGAAATATTCGACGACAAAGATACGAAACGTGTTCGCGTATAGAAAATTTTATAATTTTTTTAAAAGTCAATGTAAGTGTTCGCGTATTGAATGATTGGAAATTTTCTTACACACACTAATCATCAACACTCACAACTCACCACTTCGCACTCGTGCGAATGTTAAAGATAATGAAAGTTTTCGCGTATAGACATAACGTATAATAAAATTGTCTCATTTCAATAGTCTTACTCCGCCGTATGATCGTCCAAAAGACTCAAACCAATGTGTTCAATCAATCAATTAATTAATTAATTAAACAAATCGAAAGAAAGAAACACAGTCTTTTACAAACGTCCTTACGGGGACACGACGTATATTGTGCGCATTGCACACATGGAACAATAATAATA